TCAAACATCAAAAAATTATTGCTAACCACAAAAAAACCCAGACATCTCAAATTAATGGGTTATATACATATATATGTGTATATATAATACTTAGAATTGAATCAAAAAAATATAGACTAGGAGAACAATCCAATGTGAAAGAGAACAGAGGGCCCTGTCTGTGCATTTTCATCGTCATAGTTCTCACATGTAGGGCCTAGAAACAAATGACCTGGGGCACCCCTTGTGGTTCCTTTTCAGAGACTGGAAGAGTTCCATAACCCAAGAAAAGGAGTTTATACTATGGCCAGACTGGACACTCAAGTCCAAAGCTGGGTTTTGAGGTTGGAGAAAAAAGGGTTTCATCAGGGGAGCAGTAGAAAGCCAGTTCCAGCTCTGTATCTTCAGATGATGAAGGCTGTAGAGTGTGCCTTTCACTGTTCATCGAAGCACTGCTTCCTCTCCCGGAAGCTCAGTCTTGAGACTTTAGCCACAATCATTTGGCTCAGGCATCAGCTGAGCTGGGGAGATCTGAGCCTTCTGCGATGGGTTTGCTTGATGTTCCACACATAAAGACTTAAAATGTCATGATGGGGAGTCCTGTGGACTTGATGGCAGTCGCCCCTACCTGCCTTCCACCCAGCAGAAAACGTGGTTCTCCTTGCTGGGATTCTAAATCGGGCTTTGCTGAATGTTTGCTGCTTGATAAGGGAGTTATCTTTCTCCAGAAAAAAAATACTTGGGAAGGGAAGGCTGAGAGAGGCCTTTATTATTTTAAGGGACAAGGGCAATAGGAATGTGATCACTGATATGCTTATCTGAGCTTTTGTAGCAGCTTAACCAACAAGTTGGTGAGTCCTGTGAATTTACCTGAGGCCTGAAGGATTTCCCTGAGGCCTGGGAAAGATTGAAGGCGGGAGGAGAAGGGAACGACAGAGGATGAGATGGTTGGATGGCATCTGACTGACTCGATGGACCTGAGTTTGATAAACTCCAGCAGTTGGTGATGGACAGGGAAGCCTGGCATGCTGTGGTCCATGGGGTCTCAAAGAGTCGGATATGACTGAGCAACTGAACTGATGAACTGAAGGATTAGAGCACTGAGCTAGAAGGGAGGCTGTGTGCCCTAAGAATTCGGGGATTGCGGGGGAGGGGGCGGTGGTGAGGGGCCCAGGAAGAGATGAGAACTGTTACTGATGAATGCCCGAACCAGGAGAAAAGAGTAGGCTCCAGAAGGCTCTGGAGCACAGGGCCCACTCCCATGCTCCATGTAGGAAGGAGGACTTATTTAGCCATAGTTGCTCCCTGCAGGGCAGAGAGGGAGGGTGGTGACCAGGTTGGGAGCTGTGCAGTGGGTCCCTCAGGCTGCTCCCCAAGCTGGCCCCTGGCTGTGATCAGGACCCTCACACTGCTTTGTTCTCAGGATACGTGAAAGCTCTCCCTTATCCACCCACTTCTTTAGAAGGGCCGAGAAATCACCCCTGACAAATGTCTGTGTGTCTTGTGTTCAATAGAGATAACAATTAAGATTTTAAAAAAAAGAGTACTAGAGGGCAACCCATACTGGTTTATCCTTACCCTTTACTGTCATTTGAGAAATCTTGGTTTGAATGTCTCTAAGATTCTTCCCAGATTTGTGATGCTGTGACAGACCCTGGATGAATCCCCATCTCTGCCCAGGAATTCTGGTTTCTTGCTGCAAAGCCCTCACTGTCCTCATGGCCCACTCCCACCCCCTGCCCTACCTCCTCTCTTTTCCCGATTTCTCTGGGTTCCTGCCTTCTTCCGGCACAGCAAGCCTCAGCTCTGCGGCCTTTTTCCTTGCATCATCTCTGACTTCTCACTAATGTACCTGGTCCCCTGCTCATCTCTCGTTCTTTTGAAAGGGTCACCTCACTTTCCTCATCTGTTTCATGTGGACTGGAGGTGGGGACTTGTGGTGGACGATTCTCAAGATCTTTCCCAGCTCTGACACTCAGGGACACTCAAGGAGTTGGCCAAGGCCAAAGTCTCCATGGGTATATGAAATAGAGATGCAGTGCCCATCCTCAAGGAATTTCTAGTTGAGTAGATCTGATATAAACAGATACATTAAAAAAATCTTTGATAATCTAAGGTAGATATCCTGTGAGTGAGTTAGAGTTCCTCAGAATTCCAAGGAGGTGAGAGATTCCTTCCAGAAGCAGAGCTAATTGGTGAAAGCAATAAATTAGGATTCCTGGGCTCTTTCCCAAGGCTGGTGGTACAGACACCCTTGGCCTCCTGCCCAAAGTATCCTAGTTACATGCTTAGTTCCAATCCCAGTCTTGATCACATGGCTAATAGCATTTGTTATCAATATGGTAATAATAATTATTATTATTTATGACTATTTGCTATTCTGAAAAGCCAAGGTTAAGGCTGGGAGTGTATGCGCATCAGTACTGTAGTGATCAAGCAGAAGGAATGGCCAGAGGGAGAATTTCCAAAGAGGGAGTCTTCCAAGGTCCCCAAATGGGCCATGCCAGGAGCTTGAACAAGGAAACCTTCCAGGGCAGGTCTTGCTTTGCAGCCCTGGGAGTCTATAAACTCCAAGTGCAGTTTTTAGTGCTGGACCTCATTCCAGTGACCCCTCTGGTCACTGAGTCCCATCTTCTCCCAGCTGCAGAGGAAGGAGGCAGTGGAACATTGTGGTTAGAGTGCACACTTGGCCACTGACTGTCTGGGTTTGAGTCCTGGGTTCTTTTTCACTTGTGCCCACAGTTGTGACTTTGGACAAATTATATCCCCAGGCCTCAGTTTCTTCATCTGTAGAATGGAGAACCTACATTATATGAATTGCTAGAAGGTTGAGATAATACATTAAAACACTGGACATGCTAAAGTTTTGTTACCGAGTCCAAGTAAGATCTGCTTGTCTCATGACAGGCCAATGAATCCAAGAGATGAGGTGTTGAGGCAAGCAATACGACTTTGTTCAGAGGACCGGCTGATTGAGAAGATGGTAAACTAATGTCTCAAAATAATCATCTTCCCTGGGTCTGGATGCCGGGTTCTTTTACGAATCAGAGGTCGAGGGGCAGGGGAGGAAGCAAAATAAAAAGGCCATTAATTTTCAAATATCTCCTAAAATATAGCAAGCTTTAGACAGGGGGATGTGTTCATTTCTTTCTTCCTGCCACCTGCAGGTGGACAGGGTTCTGAACAAAGGCGTTTTAGTTTAACAGTCTGGCAGGGGGGCAGGATTCTCTGTGGCAGGCCATTACGTATGATTATAATAACAAAAGTGATGGAAAGCAAGCCAAAGAAACAGTTCCAACATGGAGTCATAATTGACTTTTCCCTGCAACACTTTCACAGGACAGTGGATGACATATCTAAAAACCAGTCTTCCGTGTTTTGATTCATGTTTTTAACAAAGTGCCTTTTCTCTGCCTATCAACCCCTTCCCACTTTTTAAAGTCAATAAGTTCCCTAAATGCAACATTTATGTGGAGCCCACAGAAAATATTAGGTTAGATATACATGGACTTGGGAGGTAGCAAGCCTAGGCTTGAATCCTGGTTCCTGCAACCTTGGGCAAATTGCTTCATCCCTCAGTTTCCTCTTCAATAAATAGGGAATCGATAGTACTAGGCTCCTAGGACCATCATGAGGATGTGAGGAGTGAATGAGTTAATGTTTGTAAAGTACTTAAAACACTGCCTGATACATAGTAGGTGTTTTATGAGTGCGTGTTAAAAACTTTTGTATAATTTGTCAAAGTATAACACACGGCACAATTTCTTTGTTAGATGTTTTACACATGGGCCTTATTTACACTCCACCTGCTATGAAGGGCAGAAAACACATTCTACCCATCTTTGACCTTAGCCCACTGCCTGACTCATGTTTGCTTCTCAATAAAGTGGCAAAGTTGAAATAAACCAGGACACAGTGGCGTGGGCACTGGAAAGCTCAACAGCAGATAAGCTGTCTACTGAAACTGCTGATTGGGTGTAGGGGAGGGACAAGCAGTAATCCTTCTCTTTCTGGAGTGTTTGATCGGCCTAGTTTGCTTCACTGTTGTTGGTCCAGGAGGCATTGACCAGAGGCTGTGAGAGACTCGAAAAGTTGGGACACACAACTCTGTTAGATGAGGAGCAAGTCTTTCAAACTAGCAGTCAGAACCGGTGTCCTTATGGAGATCATTGTCCATGGAAATAGAAACAACCACCATTTACTGAGCACCTTCCAGGTCACGCTCAACCACTTCAGTCTGTCCAACTCTTTGCGACTCCATGCACTGTAGTCCGCCAGGCTCCTCTGTCCATGGGCTTCTCCAGGCAGGAATACTGGAGTGCATTGCCATGCCCTTCTCCAGGGGATCTTCCTAACCCAGGGATAGAACCCGCGTTTCCTGTGTCTCCTGCATCGCAGGCAGATTCTTTACCCATTGAGCCACCTGGGAAACCCTCCTGGTGGATAGCCACCAGCTGAATATTTACTACGTTCTTTACAAACGAGGGTGAGCGAGGTTAAGCGGTCTGTCCACAGCGAATAAAATGGAAGAGTGAAGATTGGACCGCAGGCGTGTGAATCACAATCTGTGTTCGGATGGGAAAGTGATCTGGGCAGGCCAAGCGCGACTGGAATAATAAAGAACATTTTATTACACCGAAAGGCTTATGAATGATTGCAATTCAATTCGATGACACTCCGGCCAGCATGCACTTCTGGGCACCGCCCAGAGGTTCCACCGCCTTTGGGCGCTTACGTGCGCTCCGTGACCGCCGCGGCGGACGCGGGGTAGGCCTCGGAGGCCGCATGCGCCCTGTCTTCCTGGGAGAGCGCCCCCGCCGCCCGGCGGCTGCAGCGCCCGCACGGAGCGCATGCGTACACCCGGCGGGAGGAGGGTGGCCCGGAGCTTGTGGAAAGATTTGGCCGTGCAAGTGAGAGGGAGCTGGCGGGTGGGGCGCAAGCGCGCAGGCGCAGCCGGGGGCCGGGCGGCGACTCCGGAATCTCGGTGATCCCCAGTCTGCGCCGCATCCCGAACCGCAGCCATGGCCGCCTACAAGCTGGTGCTGATCCGACATGGTGAGAGCGCATGGAACCTGGAGAACCGTTTCAGCGGCTGGTACGACGCGGACCTGAGCCCAGCCGGGCACGAGGAGGCGAAGCGAGGCGGGCAGGCGCTGAGAGGTGCGTAGCGGGCCGGGGCGGTGGATGGGGGCTGCGAAGGCCGGGGCTGGCGCCTCTGGGTCACGGCCGCCTGGCCTCACCCTCGCCCTCCGGGAGACCGTCTAGACCTTAGGCTTCTTCTTTCTGACAGTGTATTTTGCAGTTGAGAAAATGGGCCGGGAGTGAGGGATCGACTTGCTCAAGGTCACCCAGCCAAGAAGAGGATCCGGGCGGTCACCGCGCAGTTTCATTGCGCCCTCCACACCGCCTTTCGAAATCGCTCTCGTCTTAGTCTGAGCATTTAGTAACTCGGGGACGGGTTACTAAATTGGATGCCCAGTGTCTTCCAGTGGCTACAACCAAACCTACTCTAGGCTAGGGAGGCTGATGAAGTGGCAGGCCACATGCTTCTCTCCTCCGTGGGGGGAGTGACGCGGCGCCGCGGAGACCAAAGACATCCACGTGCTCTTATAGGCTGCTGTTTCGCAGCATTCCACAAACCCAGTTTCCTGAGTGCATCCACAAATGTAAATGAGTGGTTGAATGAATGAAGGATTTGAGTTAATCCTCTTCACAACCCCATAAAGTATACAGATTTCATTCCCTTCCTTCCCAACTCTCCCGGCCCTCTTTCATAGTTGGGAAAGTGAGAGTTGGAAAGAGGACTTGACCAAAGTCACATCTTATTCCTAGTCCACCACGCTGGCCTCTGTTTTGGGGATGAGTAACAGGTAGGTGCGAGGGAACTGGTAGGTTGTTGCAGGCAAAGGTGGAAGTGGCAGTGAGATAAGCTTGCCTACTCTGGCTGGCCCCCGCTGGCAGACGGTTCTCTGTGATTTTTAAATGCTAATAAGGAAGCATCCCCTGCTGCCAGCAATTGAAAGAATCTCCGGACTAGGGAGGTGCTTCCATTGATCCTGCTCTGCTCCCTTTTAACCTCGACAAAGCAGCAGCCATTGAAATGGGTCATTGATGCCTGGTTGATGTGAATCAGGTATTTGGCCCAAATTTGCTCTTTCTAGCTTCTTGCCTCCACTGTAGATCTTTTAGAAATGAAGCAAAGGCTTGGAAACAAGTCTGGGAAATGTAATCCTGATGAGGATGTGTGTGAATAATTTGGGATGGCCCGGTGTGACCTCATACCGGTTAGGAGAGGCCAGGATGGGGAAAGTGCTGGTAAAGGAGGCCATTTTCTCTCCTGTCTGGCAGGAAGAACTGAATGGGTCTGTGGTGGTTTGCTGATGACTGATCCAGGAGAAAGCAAATTGCAACTGTCCTCTGAGACTGGTTAAACGCCTTAACTTGTAATCTCTTAAAATAACAGACGCTAGTTCAGTTTTTAAGTAAATGTTAGTAGCATTAGTTTAAACAGAAAGCCCAAAATAACTGTTTAGGTGCATCACAGATGATTAAATAAAAAGTCAATGACTAAAAGCAAAAATTCTGAATGATGAAGACCATATGAATAATCTAATAATATAAAAGGCCTAAAAAATATTAATTTCACCAGGGCTTTAAGTACTATAGGGTTTATAAAATCTTGAATGATTTCAGGAGCAAGTTAGCAAGACCTGAGTTTCACCACCCACCTTATGGAGGATGGAGACCACATGGCACACCAGCCAACCCCATCCCTGGGAGTGTCCTAAACCCTGCTTCTGTGTGATGGCCAAGTTAAAGGAAGAGGCTTTAGAGTTTGCGGAGAGTTATAAGGGGAACTGCTCTTTTCTCTGGGATCTATTTGTGTATCTAATGTGCAGCACTCCACTGCAATTAGAAAACTCAGTGAAACAACCAGAGCTTTTCAGCATGGCAGCTGAGGCTTGCACTGAGGATGTTGCTTCCCAGTGATTCAGCCTTTTACTGGGGAATCATTCTTGCCCATAAAGTTAGGGAGGAGATGGTAAGTGAGTCTACTAGGACTTGTCCTGAGGCTCAACGATGAGATGTGTCTTTTCCCTTGTGGGTGCTGGTGAGTCTCCTGGTGACTAATCCTCCCTTCCCCCATCAGTGTAGTTCTTACTGGCCTTATTCTAAGTTGAATGAGTGGCAGAAAATTCACTTCACGTTTCATTAATTACTGTTGGTGGTCTCAACATGAAGCAACACACAGGAAACTTTGTGCTGAATTTCAGTGAGGGCCTTGTAAGCCTCATGGAAGAAAACAGGAATGTTTTTCTAGCTCACCACATAAGGAGAGGGACATCTCCCCATTAAAGTGGGAGGGAGAATAATGGTTTGTGAAACATAAATGAAGATATATATGGTAACTTACTGGTTGGGCCAACATAACTCTTGATGCCACCCCTCATAACTGCTGTGTGTAGAGGAGAGTTTTGCTCTTTCTCCAGTGAGTGGCTTGTCTTAAATTTGGTTAACAGTTGATGTAGGCAGGTAGATATATAGGGTAGTCAAGTGATTTGACTAGTAGAAAGGAACTGTGGATGAAGAGGCTGTGATGTGATTTCCATAGGCTAGGGAAGATAAAATTTCATGCAACAAACTGGTTTTATCAGCATCCTCTAAGAGGTCTTGCTGTATCCTAATTGTTGAATTCAAAATCCCATTTCTCCTAGACCAGAAATTAGAGAGGACTGAAATATATTAGTAATTGTCAATCAGAAGTGATAGTTCTAACTAAAATACAAACATCAGGAGCCTTAGAAGTTAGGAAACTATGGAGATAGGTAGAGAAGGTGGTTATGAGTTGGATTATAGAGTCATACAACATGGGTTTTTAACCTTTCATGTAATATCTGTGACCTCATAATTCGCTTAACTCCTGCAGTTTCTATTTCCCCCACCTGGTAAGATGGATTGTAATGATGTAACCTCACTGGATTGTTACGAAGACTAAATAAAGTACATACAAAGTACTTATTAGTCCAGTGCCTGACAGATGGTAAACCCTCTATAAATATTAACTATTATATTTATTAAGTGATTCCAAGTTTTTAATATCCTTATGTTAAAAGAATTAAAGCAAATAAAAAATTACAATGTGCTTAAGCACAGCACTCTGGGGATTAGTAGCGCAGATGTCAGGTTAGCTCGTTGACAGTGCATTTGGTTAGATGAATTATTAGGAAGCTGCTGGGAAGTATATTGTCAACTGCAACATAAATCAACAAATGTTACCTTCCCCAAAGGCAGAATATTGTTTTTCCTGTATGCAAAATAAAATATTTAGGGTATACAAAATATTTAGCCAAAGAATTTTCATTTGGGTTGTCTATACCTGAGATTTATATGTAAAAAAATTCTGGCTCTAGGGAATTTGCTGGCGGTCTAGTAGTTAGAACTCCTCGCCCTCACTGCTGAGGGCCCAGGTTTAATCCCTGGTTGGGGAACTAAGATCCCACAAGCAGTGTGGCATGGCTAAAGAAAAGAAAAAAGAAGAAATTCTGGCTCTAGAGTGCACTTCATTATCTTATCACTTTGAACTTTTGATTTCCAGATGCTGGCTATGAGTTTGACATCTGCTTCACCTCAGTGCAGAAGAGAGCAATCCGGACTCTCTGGACAGTGCTGGATGCCATTGACCAAATGTGGCTGCCAGTGGTGAGGACTTGGCGCCTTAACGAGCGACACTACGGGGGTCTGACTGGCCTCAATAAGGCAGAAACTGCTGCCAAACATGGTGAGGCGCAGGTCAAGATCTGGAGGCGCTCTTATGACGTCCCGCCACCACCCATGGAGCCCGACCATCCCTTCTATAGCAACATCAGTAAGGTATGGACAAACTGAGGTTTGGCTCGCTGCACGCAGGACCAGGGGATCAGAATCTGGACTTTTAGCTCTTATTAGTATCTGCCTAGATCACTGAGTTTCTAATTTATGATAAAATAAATCCCCCTTTGTAATCCCCCTTCTCCAAGGAATGACCTTCACTCATTAAAAGTTTTAGTTAAGAGTTAATGTGGTTTATCTACAAAGAATTTCTATCTTTTTTACATGTATTGCCATATTTTTAAAAACTGCACCATAGCTGATAGGGCCTTCCTAGACCAATTGTGAGGTAAAGTGAGTTGGGAAGAGCCTTGAGGCCTACCTTTCCTAAGTTGTGTTTCTTTTGGACCATTCAGTCTTTGCAGTCGTGGGTAATGGGGGAGGGAGGGCAGGATAGTAATAATCTCCCTTCCCAAGCTCTCCATGCCCTGGTGAGACTTTTACCTATCACTGTGATCCCTTAGGGGATGAGGAATAGGCAGAACAGATGCAACTGGTAATAACTGGTAAGCTGGGATTTTTTGTGTAGGATCGCAGGTACGCAGACCTCACTGAAGACCAGCTGCCCTCCTGTGAGAGTCTGAAAGACACAATTGCCAGAGCTCTGCCCTTTTGGAATGAAGAAATTGTCCCCCAGATCAAGGAGGGGAAACGGGTACTAATTGCAGCCCACGGCAACAGCCTTCGGGGCATCGTCAAGCATCTGGAGGGTATGTATGCTTTTCAGAGGGGCCCTCAGGGAAGGGTAAAGCAGAACTGCCACTACTCTGGACTGATTTAGTATGAAGGAGACCTTTAGGAAAGGGCTGGATGTACTGAGAGCCTTAGAGACAGTCCAGATTATCTCCTAATAGAAACATGATCCTTGATTCTCAAAGCATCACCTGCAGAACCAGAGGCTGCCACACCCCACTGGGTGCTTGTTACACATTAGAACCTCAGGTCCTACTTCAGACCTGATTTGGAAGCTGTATCTATCACCCAGGTGCATCTATCATTGCTCTATTACAATAGAGTGATCACCCAAGGAATGCCCCCAGTATTCTTTCTTAGCCACTGAACAGCAAGGAAAAAAGGGATGAAAAGTATCTCTCCCCAAGGGACATACACACGAAAGTTTGAGATGCCTACCTCTAGGACTGCTAGTTGAAATTGCTGATAAAAATCCTTCTTAACCACAGCCTGATTACAACTCCCCACATGAATGTCAATTTGCATCCTAAGGTGTTTCACTCACAAGGGCCTAGAGGCCCATATGTGCCACGTTTTGGCAGCTGTATGGACAACATAGGACATTTACGATACTAAGATGTATAGTCCTGCTTCACTGTGGGCTTCCAGATCCCCCTTGGAGAGAGATACCTTTCATCCCTTTTTTCTTGCTGTTCAGTGGCTGCGAAAGAATACTGGGGGCATTCCTTGGGTGATCACTCTACCCTAATACAGATCCTTACTCTTATGACAAGTATCAGAAAGGGTGTCTTGTTTTAATTCCTGCCAGAGTCCTTGGAGGACCCATTTCCCCACCTGGAGGATGAACAGTAAAGCTGGAGAGGTCTGTGGATTCTTATCCTGCTTGACTTATGAGGAGGGGGTATATTTTCAGGTCTCTCTGAAGAGGCTATCATGGAGCTGAACCTGCCGACTGGCATTCCCATGGTCTATGAATTGGACAAGAACTTGAAGCCCATCAAGCCCATGCAGTTCCTGGGGGATGAAGAGACCGTGCGTAAAGCCATGGAGGCTGTGGCTGCCCAGGGCAAGGCCAAGAAGTGAGGGCAAGCAGCAGATTACCCTCCCTCCCTGCCCTGGCCCACCCTATTCCTCTGTACCTCTCCCCGGCACATGTCCCACTGATGACATCTGTAGGCGTTGTAAGTTGTAGCTGCAGGTGGGGACCAGCGGCTCCCAATTCCACATTAGCCATTTTATCCCTTGCACCCACTCCCTTCATACAGTCTAGTCAGAATGGCACGTCTGGGGCATGGTCCTCAGTCCAAGCCGAGGGAAGACTTATCCAGAAGCGTTGAGAGGTCATCACTGGGGGGTTTGATGGTGGTTTAGTACTAAGGAGCTGCTTGAGTAGGGGACAGGGAGAAAACCATGCCAAGGTGTGACCAATGAGGAGAAGTAAGAGCCTATTCGTGTCCCCAGAGGCCAGCCAGGCACTGTTCTGTTAGGTGACTCAGGGCTCTAGTCATTCCAGTGGAAGATGAATGTAACCTGCATGGTGATTGAATCAAACATTCCTCCCTGACTCTAAAAGGCTGGATCAATCCTGAATGTTTTTGTGTTGCATTTACTTAAAAAAAAAAAAAATTATATATAAATACAAAAAAAAAACCCCTCCTGGGGTTTTTAGTGGCGGTTGAACTATTCCCACATGTGGTCATCAGCAAATAAGTCATTCCTTACACCATCATGGGATAAGCTCCTTAACTTCTAAGGTGTAGGAGTTCATCCTGCTGTGTGTTTTAGAATCCCTCCCCTGCCTTACTGTTTTATGGCAGCGGAATGCCCCTTGATCATGTCCAAGTGTGTCTCTCACTGTGCCTGACTTCTGAATCATGTTCCAGTTGCTTGGCCCAGCACTTGGGCCCAGTACTCATTTGAGCATAACTGTACTAAAACTTTTTTCCAGATCAGTATAAAATAAAGGAGTGATGTGCAATATTTTCTGTGCGATATGTCTTATCTGAGGAAATAACTCGAACATTCAACTTGAAATGTCTCTCACTGCCCGAGTTCGTGTATGACTAAGAGCTTTCGGACAGCCAGTCACAACTTTACACAACCTGGTCCAAATACCGTGTATCTCACTGGGTTCTCCACTGCAGGTTGGAGAGCTGAACTCTTTTTCCTGTTGTCTCTACAGTTCTTGCTCAATGGTACTAGTTACTAAAATTAAATTCTGAAACTATTATACCTTCTTTAGAAAGGTAAAAGTTTGTTTACTAGACTTAAAAAAAGCCAGTTGCTTTCTATTAGTAAACTGTGAACTTGATTCACACCTTTTCTTTTGGCCCCTAAAGTTTTATCCCTGTCAGTTAACTAACCTCAGAAATTACACTTGCAGGAAAAAATGAATATACAGTCATCCCTTATCTGCAAAGGGGAGACTGATTCCAGGACTCCTCTGGATATTAAAATTAACAGATGCTAGGGACTTCCTTGGTCCAGTGGCTAAGACTCTGCTCCCAATGCAGGGGGCTTGGGTTGGATCCCTGGTCAGGGAACTAAATCCCACATGCATGCAGCTGAGTCTGCATGCCACAGTGAAGAACAACTAAGACGCAGCACAGCCAAAACAAACATTTCAAAATTAACAGATGCTAAAGTGCCTAATACAAGGTGGCATAGTACAGAGGGCTCTCTCTTCATGGGTTTCACATCCATGAATAGGGAGGACTGACTAATTATCTACATAATTGGGAAGGGGCATTGCTCACATTTACCTTTTCTCTGAGGCCTTTTGAGAAGATCACTGGAATATGAGAAAGCCCATAATGCCTTTCTCTTCTAGTAGGAACAAGTAACACCCTCCATCTAGAAAATTCTTAAGCGCTTTATGCTAGCCATTGGGTGAGGCATGTTATATACATAATCTTCAGTCCTGATAACCTCTGAAAGGGCTAATGGTTTATGGAAGAGGATACATGCTGAAAACAGAAACTTGTCAGAAGGTACACTACTAAGTACTGGGATCCAGTATAAATGTTGCCAAGGTCCTTATTCTAAAATTTAAGCATCTTGCTTTCCAAGTTAGCTTTTTATCTCCTGTGCACAGTAATCCTAGGAAGACTTTTAGTACTTTAAGCCTAAAGTAGACTGATGGGATGTTAGTTTCCTTAGCTTGTACTGAATCTTAGAACAAAAGTTGGTAATTTTGTGCTCAACCCATGCCTGACACAGAGCAAGTACTCAAAAGTATGTAGAACATTAAAAAAAAAAAAGATAGGTGATTAGGCATTGTCTACAAAGACTGCTCTAGATGTCATGTCAGTTTAGATTCTCTACCCTACTTGAGACAACAGAAACTAAAATTCTTTTCATAAAAATGTTTTGTCATAGCAAAAATACACATTTGTAACACTCAAAGAACAGGCTATAATCTACCATCATAGTTTGTTTGCTGGTGCCTCCAAAAGAAATTACTCCAGGGAATAAAATCTGCTGAAAGTTTCACAAGAAAAATGTTCCACCTACAGAAAAGATTTTTCTAAAGGTGGCTGCTGACCAACCCCTGGTGTCTGAATAAAGACAACAGCCTCCTGATGTCACTCACACATATACTCTTGGAAAAGAGCTTCCCCTCTGCATGGGAGAAGTGGTTTCTTAGGTCTGCAGGAACTCAGGCTGTACTCGGGCCACCTTCCGGAATTCTTTGGTGTGGGTCTTCGGGCATTGCATCTCACACCAGCTGATGGGGACCATCTGGACACCTGCAAGGGAAAAGGTGGTGTAGGAGCTGGGACGCCATATACTTGCTTGAGACATTTCTCTTTTCAGCTGGGTGTGAACTGATGTCACCAAGCTGCCTAGTGAACCTCTCACCTCATACAGAAAAAAGCCTTGTTTATTCCACCGATTCATGGAGTCAAGTGACTCTTCCTTAGATTATATCAGGAGAATCATTCTAATCTCAGTAGTCAGTATCTACACTCACATTGCTTCTAAGATAATTAAAGAATGCGGACAAACAATGGACTAATCCCAAACCCTAGCTCGCAGGGAAAGCTGAGCATGTGGAAGTGCGGACAAACTCACCGGATTCACTGTGGGCCACCACCACTCCCAGCTCATTTTCGGCTGTGGTTAACAGGTAGTTGGACTGCGCATCACCTAGGGAGATCTGGTCACGTCATGCTGGTGAAGGAAAACAAAGACTCACAGGTCTTCACAGGTCTTCCTTCTAACAGCTACGTGAGTGGTTTCTCCACTTCCCTTTCTTACTTTGATAAAGGACCACAAGTCTGCAGGGAATAAAGGATACCACTTTGGCCAAGACGATGTCCCCTGGGCGGAAACTCTTGTAAATCTCAACCTGTAAAGAAAGTGTAAAGTGAAAGCTCCGATCAGGTCTATATGAAACTATTAGAGGGAGCTAAGATGGCGGAGGAATAGGACGGGGAGACCACTTTCTCTCCCACAAATTCATTGAAAGAACGTCTGAACGCAGATCAAACTACACGAAACTATTAACCCCACTGAGTAGAGCTAGTCTACTTCTAACCCCCAGAGGGTAGAAGTCACTGTTACTCAAGTAGATCAACAACTTTTATTGCTTCTGTGGCATCATCTCATAAATGAAAGATCTGAACTCAGGAAACTGATCAGGAATCTGACTTAGACAAAAGGTACTATGGTTGCTCTGAAAGGGTGCAGAATAAGTCTGAGAGAACAGCCATGAATAAATACCTGGCTTCAAAGACAAAGAGTAAACTAGCTCCTCTCTGGTCAACAAAAAGAAGAAAAATCATACGAAGAGGAAAGGAATAGTGAGGTAAATTCCACACCTTCCAGTAGAGAACACCTTAAACTTCCTTGGACTCCACATTCCCAGAGACTTTTTGAAATTCACTGAAATAATCTAAAAGGACTGAGATTCCTAAAGACACAAAGGAAAAAAAGAACCAACCAACAACCTTGTCTTTTTCAGTAGCTCGGACGTCTTCTTTGCTATAAAGAAAAGAAGTAACAGAAAGATTAATTATCTGTGAGAAAGAATTATCCTGTGGACTCCTAGCAGACAAAGAGCTATAACAGCAAAGAGAACAAGTCCTGATCGAGACCCTCTGCCACTCAGAGGAGCAAGTGGAGAAGTATTCCCCGTCCTGACCCCGAGGAGAAAATCACAGTTCCCATTCTCAGATCACACAGAACAGGAGTATCAATACCTCCCACCAGAGGAAAAGTGGATCTGATTTGGCAGAGAAGGATAAGGAACTCTGCTGCCTTAGGAGAGCTTGAATGGCAGCATCACAGAACCACACAGAATCCTGAGGGTGGAAAGAGCCTCAGATGTTAAATTATTTAGCTCACAAGAACTGTCTGTCCCTTCTTAAAGAACCCATAGGGGGAAAAAACCACCACTTCACCCATTACCCTTTTTATTGTCTTATAATGCTTGGGTTAATCGATATTAAACACAAGAAAAAAAGGTACTTCCTAAAATGCCTTCTACTTTGTTTGGTATGAATCATACCCACAATGCACCTCCAGCTTATTAAATTCTTTTTTGTTTTATTTAAAGTCCTATCTCATTAATATCTTCCTTCTGTGTTAACTCACATACTGTAATATTTTCTTTAGATACTACCTGGGGAGAATCAAACCACAAAGAGGTGAGACATGGGCAGGAATAGACTGTAATTGTTCTTAAAATTCCAGTCTCCCATCCTATCCTAATCTCATTCCAGGCGCTGAGGTGAAATGAAGACAAAAATACTCCTTACCGGATGGTTCCTCGAAAAGAGTTCTTAAGTGGCGTGGACCCCACATAGAGGATGTGTACTTTGGCAAAGCGTGAATTGATGCTGGAGACCTGTGGAACAGAGGAAAGGGCAGCATTAGAGTATTAGCAGTTGTCAGCTGAAGGAGGCAGGAATCAACTAGCAAAGACTAGGATTTTAGTCCAAGCATCCCTACTAAGCATAAAATTTCAGATAAGTTAACTCCTATTTATCCCTGCATAAGTGATGTTCATAAAGTGGAGTAAGAGCCACTCTGGCCACCTAAAATAGAGTTACCGGAGGAATCAAATGAAATAATATGGCATAGATTTTCAAAAATGTGCAAGTCTAACAAATACACAAAGGAAGCATAGCAAATCTAACTAGACCTTTAGCAGATCTCACTAAGAGGCCTGCAGTGTGAATGGAACTTAAGTCTCCATTTCAGCTGCTGGGTAATATTTGGATCACTGTGCCTGTCCAGTTATTTTCAAAATAATGCATAGATTTTCTCTTTTTTCCCTTTTTCCTTTCTTAAATTTGGCCACGCTATGTGGCTTGCAGGATCTTAGTTCCCTGACCAGGGACTGAACATGCACCTTTGGCACTGAAAGTGCAGAGTCCTAACCACTGGACTGCCAAGGAATTCCCCACATAGATTTTCTGTTGGAGAAATTATTTATAGAGAAAAACTAAGAGCTACAAGTTAACTGGCAGAGGGTGGGGATGGGCAGGGAATACTGATGTCTTATAGTTACTAATTGGTACAGCACTAATTTGCACTTGCCCTCAAAGACTTTATAAAAATCTTTCATTTCTCTGCAGAAAAAGTTTCGCTTTAGATGTTCAAAAATACACCTCCTTATGACCTTCTGGTACTCCTGTTTCCCAGACAAAAGTAAAAAATTACATGCTCAGGAAACCAGCTCTGTGAAAGGACTACATAAGCTTGAACTTGACCACACTGATCATTACCTTAGCAATCTCTAGACCCAGCACAGTCCAGTAAAACTTTCTGTGATGATAGAAAAATTGTGTTGACCAACATGGCAACCACCATCCACCTGTGGCTACTGAGTACTTGAAATAGAGGCAGTGGAACTGAGGAAATAAATTTTAAATTTTAATTTTAATTTATTAAAATTTAAATGACCTTATGTGACTACTGGTTACCATATTGGACAGTGCAGTTCTATAATGATCATGATTTCAACACTGGATAGTAAAATAAGCAGGGAGGTTAGGACCAACTTACCTTACAGGTTACAATAGCTCCTACATCTGGCAATAATTGGGATTCTGTTTCTCTCATCACAGATATGACAGGAAGCTACAGAGAGAAAAATAAAACATGAATATCCTGGCTAAACCTTGGATAAAGGTATTTGTGGCTTGACAGTAAAATGGGATACCTTGGGCCACAGTTGACATCACATGGGCAGGTGGACTACAGATTCATTTGTAGCCCAGAGCAGAAAGCCTCACAAATTTTAGGATACAGGAGGGCCAAGGGGCCACAGAAAGAAAGCTGCAAGAAGATATAATCTTACCACTTCAGATGAGTTCTGAGTTTTTTTGTGGTTTTCTTAAGAGTTTTTTGGCATACAACTACATTGCCTGTAATCATGGATAATTTGACTTTCTTTCAAAGTTATATCTTTCTTTTGGTTTGTCACTTTATTGGACAGCCTAGAATTTTCAAATAAATGTTATATAACAGTGACCATACTCATTTACTTCTATATAACACTTGTAGAGTTTCCTCTTGAGCATGGTACTGGCTATTGGTGTAGGAAAGATTTTTTTTTTTAGGAAAGATATTTTTGAGCCTGATCTTTCTTAACCTTTTCCTTGTTCAGTATGTTTCAGCTCTCCTGGTCCTTTTTCAGTTTCACCAATTCACTAAATTTTTTCCCATCTCAGGATCTTTTCAACCTGTTCTTTCTGCTCACTCACTCAACTCTTATTGATCCTTTAGATTCAGACTAAATATCACTTCTGACTAGGTGGGATTTGCCTATTACATGTTCTCATGGTACTCTGCAATACTCTTTCAGAGCAGTCATCATATGTGTAAGCATACATTCATTTGAGCATTTATTTGCTTATAGTTTGTATCTGTACCCCTTGATAGCAGAGACCACGTATATTTGGCTCAGTATCACATCCCACAGCTATAAAATGAACAAACTTTCAAATCCTAGGGAAATTCCCAAAATTGATAGAATACAAAGTCTCTTATTTTATAGGTAAGAACCTAAAACCAGGGAGTTTAAGTTTTTTACCTAAAGCAGAATCAATGTTTAGTCAATACTGAATCCTCTTTCTACTATGCTCCCGGTCTTTAGGGTTTTCCTGGTGGCTCAGCTGATAAAGAATCTGCCTGCAATGTGGAAAACCTGGGTTCGATCCCTGGGTTGGAAAGATCCCCTGGAGAAGGGAATAGCTACCCACTCCAGTATTCTTGCCTGGAGAATTCCATGGACTGTATAGAGATTTGAACTTCCCTCATAGCTCAGTTGGTAAAGAATCTGCCTGCAATGCAGGAGACCTGGGTTCAATTCCTGGGTTGGGAAGATCCCCTGGAGGAGGAAATGGCAATCCACTCCAGTATTCCTGCCTGGAAAATCCCATGGACAGAGGAGCCTGGCGGTCTACAGTCCATGGGGTCACAAGAGTGACATGACTTAGCGACTAAACCCGCCCCCCCCGCCCCCCCCCACCTCCAGTCTCTAACCTACTCCTTCAAGAACTGCTTATATGATCCCAAGCTAATCATGGATCAGCCTCTGGAACCAGGGAGAATAAATAATGTTATTCATACATTCAATAAACATCTACTGAGCATTTACCTTGCACTACATGCATAGTAGTGGAAGGATCTAATGGGGAACTTATAACTGAGTGTTTAATTGCATGCTGAACTAAGTGCTTAGAAAGGGAGTAATAGCTCTTGGGACCTCCCTGGTGGGCCAGTGGTTAAGACTCTAAACTTTCACTGCAGGGGGCATGGGTTCAATCCAAGATCCTGCATGCCCTGTGGCAAAACAAACATGCAAACCGACCCCAACAGCTCTTTGTGAGTGTTAAACAAAAAACAAAACTCCCTTTTTTGACTAGTGGTGTCTATAGGGATTCACTGAGAAGGTGATACTAGTGAGGTTATCTAAAGGGTGGTGGTGGTTTAGTCGCTCAGTCGTGTCCGACCCCTGCGACCCCATGAACTGTAGCCCGCCAGGCTCCTTGGTCCATGGGATTTCCCCGGCAAGAATACTGGAATGTGTTGCCATTTCCTTCTCCAGGGGAATCTTCCCGACTCTGGGATTGAGCCCGCGTCTCCTGCAATGGTGGCGGATTCTCTTCCACTGAGTAGGTAGGATTTAATCGGGCTAAGGAAGAGAGGAGCTTGTTCCAGACAAATGGCGTGTATACAAAGACTCTGTGGTCCACTGGCTATATTGAAAGAAGACAGTAGGACTTCTGCAAAGAGTGAGGCGCGGGTAGCGGAGCGAGATGAAGCCGGAGAAGTAGGCGACATTCGGCCAGGATTCAGCTCACAGCACGGCTGAGCTCGCCTCCGTTCTTTCCCCAGCTTGCTTCCCCGAGTGTCAGCAACACAGCCAAACCAGACAACACAACTAATTTGTGATGGCTAAGTGTCCAGCAGCGGGGATCCCAGCGGTCAGAAACTTAAGAGACTAACTCCTTCTCCTGAACTAGGCACTAAAGACGCTCTCGTAGGACCCCTGCCTAAAGACAGCGAAATCAAAGGCAGCGTAAGACAAAGACAGAGACAGAGAAGGGAAGCTGCTCCATTTACCGCGCCGTTCTCGCTGCTCTTTGTCAAGCAGCCAGCAAGCGACGAGAAGATGTAGCCGTGCCGGGTGTAGGTGCCACTGCCCGGGCTGCCCTCCTCCAAGTTACACAAACGTTCTCCTGCAGAGAAAACGCTGCATCAGCCACGGGTCCGCTGAAGCTGTGGGTTGTCTGGCCTTCTTGCCCCTGTCCCTGCCAGGATTCGCTCTGAATACCGCTGACTTACCGGGGATGCAGTACTTCACGGGTGGCGCCATGACTGCCACTGTCCCAAGTCCGGAGGAAAATGAGGCCGACCTCTCATTGGCCAATATCCACGTGCAGTTCCGCAGTAAGGAACGCGCTTATTGGTGTGCTCCGGAATTGGTAATCTCCGGAAGCGCTTCCGGAAGACGTAAACTCCGTTTCCCAGGTTGCATCGGGACGAGTTCTGGGGCGGGGCTTCGGAACGCTTGCGCTTGCGCCTGCGCCTGTGGACAAGGATGGGCGGGCGGTGGGTCCGGGTCTGCAGGCTGGACCTGTGGGCGGCGGGCCATGGTTGGTTGCGTTGAGCCGGGCCGGTGGACGCCGAGCTGGAGGGGGTGGCAGTGAGCGGCGGCGGAGGCTGCGGAGTTCGACTTGGCTGATTGAGGAATTGGCCGGCGGCAGGTAAGAGCGAAGCTGCGGCCTTTTCTGCCCAGTCCTGTCGCTTTTTATAGGGTCGGGCCCTGTTCCCGGGCCTTGTGAGCCCGAGTTCCTGCTTTGCACGGTCGTGCCCTCGAACCGGACGGAGCACACCCTCTGGGCAGCCCTGAGGCGTGGAGCTGGAAGGTCAGCCCAGCCAACTCTCCCATTTCACAGATTTGGAAATTCATCCCCAGGGATAGGATTCTAATTGTATTTCTAAGATAGTTCAAGATAGAGACCGAACGGGTACTCAAGTTATTTTTTTACGTTCAGTCTATCATTCTTTGACCATGCCAGCCTTAATTATTGAGAAATAAAACGTTTCCTCAGTTTCTGTAACTGCAGTCTCCGATCTTGCGGAAGCGTGCTAGTCTGGAAGGAAAGCCTGCGCATGAATTAGTGTTGCTCTTACTGATGATTGAGACTTGCCGCTTGCGACTGTAAACACCCTGAAAAGAGCATCTTTGTTCAAATGAGTTTTGTCGACTTTGTTTCCTCTGCCCTTTGGTGTCTTTGGAATCCGTGTGTGTACTCCCACCCCTAATAGTCCCCATGTCCAGTTTCCCCTTGGGAAAGAGTTGGTGACTGAGAGCCTTGGAGAGAGGAGAGTGCTGTGACGTACACTCCCCTCTGATCTTGTGGCATGTGTCACTATATTGCTAGTACTGAGGGATCAGAGTGTTCAAGGCTTGTGTTGGGGGTGATGCTGCTGCTGCTGCTGCTAAGTCGCTTCAGTCGTGTCCGACTCTGTGTGACCCCATAGACGGCAGCCCACCAGGCTCCCCCGTCTCTGGGATTCTCCAGACAAGAACACTGGAGCGGGTTGCCACTTTCTTCTCCCATGCAGGAAAGTGAAAAGTGAAAGTGAAGTCGCTCAGTCGTGTTCAACTCTTAGGGACCCCATGGACTGCAACCTACCAGGCTTCTCTGTCCATGGGATTTTCCAGGCAAGAGTACTGGAGTGGGTTGCCATTGCCTTCTCCGTTTGGGGTGATAGGGAAACTCTATTTCCTGCTCTGTTCACTTCCATCACCACCCCTCACCCCCAACACACAGTTTTTTGAACTCTGCTTTATCTCAGTTTCCTGAGATGAAAACTTCCTATGTTCAGTTGTGGTCCCATGGACTACATATTTTTCCCTGGCATTCCCATACCTGCCCCCAAACCTCACTAAGTAAAATAAGGGAAGGGGGCCTTGGTCTCAGACTTCTTTTACATAATCTGGTTTTAAGCTCTGCACTACAGCTTTCAGCTTACATGTTTATGTTGATTACTGGTTGGATAGTTTTCTAGAATGACTTTTAACTCTGAAGTGCAATGATTCCACCAGTGGTTTTCATTTCTCTCTTTATTGATCATGAAGAATGTAGCGACTACACTTATTTCGTGTTATCACGTTGGCAGGCGTGTCCTTGTTGTTATTTGTAGGACAGGTGGACATCTGACCAGCCTTTCCACTTAGGCATCCCTCCAGTTTGTTCATTCAATAAGTATTTATTGAGTACTTCTATGGTCCAGGTATTGTGCTAAGCACTTTATAAACACTTCGTTTGTATCTTACCAACTGTATATATATAGTCATAAAGTGGGTAGAGCAGAAAGGTGCCTTAATAGTTAATCCTAGTCTCTCATCAATGGGAACACAGAAAACTGAGTCCCAACAGAATTTGGTGGTTTGCCCAAGGTCACAGATCTACTTCAGGGCAGAATTGAATCATAAGTAGTCAAGTTATGGGGCTGGTGAGAGTTGGTAAGTCTGGTTTTTGAGGCATTTCCTGTAGAGTTTAGTAAGTCCCGAAGTAGCTGAGACAATCTAAAAAGTGGAGAATCAGAAAATGAAGTTTTTTTTTTCTTCTAAACAGGAGAGATGGCATATAATTTTTGTTTATTACAGATGAGGCACACATTTGCACGCTGTTGCTGTTAAAACTATTTTAGTAAATAGAAAACTTTCCATTAGCTCTAGTAAGGGAATGAATGATGATGTGGATAACCTAAGTCACTTGGATTTGTTTTGGGATGAAATCTTTCGTTCCACTGTTACATTACAGTAACAGTACATTACAGTACAGTATCGCTGTACACTATTTGAAAATTCATGCTTCCAGCCAAATCATGATTCCACACAACAGGAGTCCATGTCAAAGGAGGTAGGAACTTTGAGCTTTTCCTTTTTCTCTTTTCTGCACTGTCCCTTTGTTCTCTTATCCACTCGGAGATGATGGAAAGGGCCAACTTACTTTATCCTGCTACAGAAGTAGGTCCCTACTGAATTGTCTGTCTTCTCCTTGCTGGTTTTATCTGCTGGCTTTGTTTTTGCTTTACGTCTTTAGGGGGCTTATGGAAGGAGGTAATTAAGTTTTCTTTGAAAGACCTCTTGTGGGGATGGCAGGGTGTAAGGGGAGTACCTTGCTCCAGTTACTGAAATGACACCATCCCTACAGTGGGGCAGCCTCCTCCAATTTCTGCTGGGCTTTGAGCTACCTGTTAATAAGTCAGTGGAGTTGCAGAGGACAAAGTAGCCATAGGGGAAAATCAGATGATTTCCTCTTTGATAAGACCTTTTATCTGCAGAATTGATGAGAATATCATCGAAATAATCTGTATGTTCTGTCCTGGGCATTGCCTGGGTAGCTGACCTCCCATGGCTGTTAGCTGAGGTAAAAATCACATGGAGAAGGTTAAGGCACTTTCAGAGGAGCTATGCACAGTGCTAAAGAGCTGGACAGGCTGGTTGGGACACCTGGGGCCAGGGCAGCAGCTGCAGAGAAAGCTCTCAAGTGTCCAGCTAGAACAGAGCAAGGGAAACTCATTACTCAGAGGGCGGGCCTTGTGGTCTTCTTCCACTGTCCTCCATGCTGCCATGTCTCCTGCTTGGTGGTGGTGGTCTGCTCAGGACCCGAGTTGTTTTGTTCATGCTTGGGGTGGGACTGGGACTAGAATTGGAGACAGGGCATCTTATGTCATGCAAGGGGGAGGTAAGCTATCCCCACAGGAGACAGGGACTCTCATGCCCCCAGGCCGGTAATGGCAGTAGGACGGATAAGTGTCTTTTGCCCAGATAGCACCAGGGAAGATCTAGGTGCAGGATTCATATGATGTGAACTCACTCCCTCACTACTGTTCCTGGTAAAGACAGTTGTTAGGAGGTAGGGGCTTCCCTTGTGGCTCAGACGGTAAAGAATCCACTTGCAATGCAGGAGACCTGGATTCGATCCCTGGATTGGGAAGATCCCTTGGAGGAGGGCATGGCAACCCACCCCAGTATTCTTTTTTTTTCTTTTTTTTCCACCCCAGTATTCTTGCCTGGAGAATCCCCATGGACAGAGGAGCTTGGCGGGTTACAGTCCATGGGGTCGCAAAGAGTTGGACACAATTGAGCAACTAAGAATAGCACGGGGCAGGCAGGAGACCCCGGACAGCTCTGCCACAGTGGCCAGGCCCACAGGACCACGCGGATAGCTTTGTGCACATTGGTTGGGCTCTACGCAGTGGTCTGTCCACATAGACAATTCTAGAGACGCTGCTTGAGCTTGGAGCTGCCTCCCTATTTCCCAGCTGGTGACTGGCCCAGCGGGCCTCAGCCTTAGGTCTCTGCCTTTAAGCTGCCCACTGGTGGGGCAGGGAGGGACAGGACCCAGGCTGGCCCCTCACGGTGCTGTGCTTTCCTAGGAGCCATGCGGGGCCAGCGGAGCCTGCTGCTGGGCCCTGCCCGCCTCTGCCTGCGCCTGCTCCTGCTCCTGGGCTACAGGCGCCGCTGCCCACCTCTGCTCCGCGGCCTGGTGCAGCGCTGGCGCTACGGCAAGGTCTGCCTGCGCTCCCTGCTCTACAACTCCTTCGGGGGCAGTGACACCGCCGTGGACGCTGCCTTTGAGCCTATCTACTGGCTGGTGGACAATGTGATCCGCTGGTGTGGGGTGGTGAGTGATGCCCGGGGGCAGGAAAAGGGTTGTTTGGGGAGCGCATGTGTCTGACGAACCTACCCTGGGTCGGGACCCACACCGGCCCCCTACCCTTGGGAAGCTCCTGAGTCTGCTCTGGGCATCGCCAAGCTCTCTCACGGCATCTTCCCGACCTCCCCGGTGTTGGCAGGTATTCGTGGTGCTGGTGATTGTGCTGACCAGCTCCATCGTGGCCATCGCCTACCTGTGTGTCCTGCCCCTCATCCTCCAAACCTACTCTGTGCCCCGGCTCTGCTGGCACTTCTTCTATAGTCACTGGAATCTGATTCTCATCGTCTTCCATTACTACCAGGCTATCACCACCCCGCCTGGATACCCACCCCAGGTGGGTACCCCCCTCCAGGGGCATGGGGGTGGAAGAGAACTGCAGGCCACGGGAGCCAGTCCAAGGAACGGGGAGGGAGAGTGCCTTGGTGTTTTTGAGGTACGAAACCGGTGCTGCCACAGTCGTCATGTTGCTTTTCTCCCTCTGCACAGGGCAGGAATGATACGACAACAGTCTCTATCTGTAAGAAGTGCATTAACCCCAAGCCAGCCCGAACACACCACTGCAGCATCTGCAATAGGTGGGTCTCTGGGAACCCCAGCCATGGCCCTTTTGCTGTAGCCCCAGGGCAAAACCTAGACCTGGCATTTGCCTGGACATTCATGGGGTACCCTGTCATGTGCCAGGCCATGTGTCCTGAGGACATGGGCCCCAAGATGGTCCTGCGGGTTATGCGTTATCACTGCTTGGGGAAAGTGAGGTTCAGAGAGAGGGATCAGAGTAGGCAAGAGCCCAGAGTTACCTTGTCCAGTGTCATGTAGCCAGTGAAGCAGGGTTTGAAGCAAGGCCTGGCTGTCCTCAAAGTCTGTGTGCCCTTTCCGCCTCAGCAGGATGCTGGTCCTTGTAGGAAAGGATTGGCACTGACATCTCAAGAACCTTGGCCACCGTAACAGAGCCTGTGTCCCTCCCTCACAGGTGTGTGCTGAAGATGGATCATCACTGCCGTATCCTTTTGCTATCTCCTCTGCCTGAAACCTCCTCCTTTAGCTCCAGAGCACTGCACAGGTTTAAGGGCCGTAGGCCCAAGGCTTCTAGCTTCACCTTGCAGAGAACGCTGGGCTCAGGGGAAGTTAGTAGAAGAGCAGTTGTGGGGACCAACCATCTCCTGGGAATAGCAGGAGGCTTATGTGCCTTCTGGGATGGATCTTCTGGGAGCAAGGCCTCTCTCAACAGCTGTTTCTTTCGTAGACTTTCGCGCTAACATCTATTGGATGGCAAGAGAGGTCTTGTTCAGTGGGTTGTCCAGTGGGGGTCCAGATAGAACTCGGTCCCTTTCTGCTGTCCCACACAGATGTGTGGTAAACCTGTTTGAATATTGGCAGACTCATTTTACTGAAGGATTTCAGTTTTCATGATCTCCTGGTGGGACTTGTGAGGGCTTTGAAAAGCTTTAATACTTTCACCTCAACTTCAGGGAAGTCCCATATTTTTCTGCCTTTGGTGATGGAATCCTTGGGCTTGGATGATATTGTTAGGAACCACAGATAAACCGGAGAAACCAGGACATCCCCTGAAGTTGTGTGTTTGGTCTTGTCCTTAATCCTTTCCCCACCAGCCTGGCTAAACAACTGTGTGGGCCACTATAACCATCGGTACTTCTTCTCTTTCTGCTTTTTCATGACTCTGGGCTGTGTCTACTGCAGCTATGGAAGCTGGGACCTTTTCCGGGAGGCTTATGCTGCCATTGAGGTGAGCCCATAGTTAGGAAAAGAGCAGCTCAGTAGAGAGCACTTCGGGGTGTGGAATTTGTTCCTAAGAAGGGGCTGGTAGCACCCCCCTCTCCTAGAGGCTTGAGAGTGTAACCAGCACTGTTTTCCATCCCCTTAGAAAATGAAACAGCTCGACAAGAACAAACTACAGGCGGTTGCCAACCAGGTGGGCTGTCCCCACCCCACTGCCTCCTGCTGCTCAGGCCAGGGGTATAGAGTTGCTGAGGCAACTGAGGCCCACCTGTTAGTCGAGTTGTAGAGACTGGGCTCAGGCCAGTCGAGACTGGATCAGGGGTGTTCTGGGGGCTGCCTGCCACAAGCAGATCAAGGGGCCTGGGGACAAGCTGGGAGTCCCTGGTATGTGAGTTTTTGGCTCTCTATCCCATTTCACCTTCTTCAGGCTGAGCAAGGACTCTGCCGTGGTGATGGCCTGAGCAGCAAGGAGTCCATGTTAGTCTGTGTAATGGGGTTCCAGGGGACAGAGGTCGGGCTGGGCCAGTCTGATGATCCTTTGCTCCTGGTCTGTCTGCATCTGCATCAGGATCCCCGGGCCTTTTAGGACTTCTTGTTCTGAGCAGATTGTCGGCTTGAGATTGTGCCTCTGCTGCCCTTTTGGTCCTTAATGGGGCTCCCTGTTCTCCCTCTCCAGTCATTCTGTTCTGGGTGTGATCTGGTCCCCTCTCTAGGGGATTACAGCCATACAGTTCTAACTGGGAAGTGGAGTGGCTTCCCCTGGAGCCCCGTTTGTGTTGTCAGAGCTAAAGGCCCAGGGTCGGTCCCTCCTGTGCTTTACCATCCTGTCCAGACCCGCTCTGCCCAGTGTATGTCCACATGATGATGCCACTGGCTTGGTCCACCCATCTGGCTGCTGCCCTGACTCCTCTGTGGCTTAACCCCCTCTCTTCTCGCCCTGGGCCTGGATCACTTCCCTGCCTGCAGGTGCTGGGCTCTGGTGGAAGCCAGCAGTGAGCCAGACCGTGCTGTTTTCTTTTTCTAGACTTACCACCAGACCCCACCACCCACCTTCTCCTTCCGAGAAAGAGTGACTCACAAGAGTCTTGTCTACCTCTGGTTCCTGTGCAGGTATCTTAACTCTCATTTTTGACAGCTGAAGGGAGGGCAGCTTCAGAAAGCCTTTTATAGTGCCCGCACAGGCAGGAACCCCTCCCTGTGTGAACTGTTGCTATTCTTAGTCTCACTTAGGGTGGCCAAGAGTAGAGCTTAATTTTCTTCAGCATTTTGGGGGAGGGAACATGAAGGACTTAGCACTGAGGGTTTGTTATGTGCCAAGGGAAGCTCAACTCCTCCTTTTAAGAGCAGATGCATTTTGTAGAGGAGGAAAATTGCAGATGTGAGGGGGTGAGGTGATTTGTTCTGTGATACACAAGTAGAGATGGTAGAGCTGGAATCTGATGTGCCATTTTATTTTGATCCTTGGTGCTTTTACTCCCCTTTCCTGTCTCCCAAGCATGGGTATTTTAGGAAACATATAACATTTTCATTAGTAATAGACTTATTTCCCCATTCTCCTTGCCACATAATGTATTCTTAGCCCATATAGATGCTTTTTCATGAACGCTGTTTTTATCAGTAGATACAGTGAAGTTAAAGTTCATTTAGGACCCATCGGCTGGGAGAGAAGGCAGAAGTCCCTCCCCAGTCACTGTTGCTCAGCGCAATTTCAGATCTACTCATGGCCTCTAACCCTGTCCATGCCACCCCCAATCTTTGCCCTTCTTCTCGCAGTTCTGTGGCACTGGCCCTGGGTGCCCTGACTGTGTGGCACGCTGTGCTCATCAGTCGAGGTGAGACTAGCATCGAAAGGCACATCAACAAGAAGGAGCGTCAGCGGCTGCAGGCCAAGGGCAGAGTGAGTAGGGCTGGGACTGGGGTGCTGGGGCGAGTGGGAAACCAAACCTGCTGTTCTGTAAAGAGCTGGTTTTTCTCCCATGGTCAGGGCCAACTAGGGCAGGCCTGAAGCCCAGAACTTGCCTAGCCAATTTAGGCTCAAAATTGGTTTAAGGAAAAGGGTTCCTAGAAACATTTTTCTTTGCTCTAGGTTTTTAGGAATCATTACAACTATGGCTGCTTGGACAACTGGAAGGTATTCCTGGGTGTGGACACAGGAAGGTAAAGTAAAACATCTAGACCAGCACTGTCCATTGCACTTTCTGTGTTGAGAAGAACATCCTACACCTGTGTTGCCTAAGACATCAGCCACTAGTCACATATGGCTTCTGAGTGCTTGAAACATGGCTCATGTATTAGTGGACTGAATTTTAAATTTAATTTCATTTTCACCAATTTAGTTAGGCACATGTGGCTACTGGCTATTATATTGGTACAGTACCAGATGACTACAGTAGAATCCTGAAAGCTGTTCTCAGGAAGGGACCTCTGGCTAGCGTCTCTCAGCCAGCAGTGACCTCTCATTTGTATGGCAGTGTTGGATTTCAAACAGATAACTTGTGGGACTGAAGTTATTTGTGACAGAGGTCCTAAGACAATAAATGAAGCTAGCTCCCTCAGCCCAAGAGAAAAGGTAAATCATTTTTCAGATTGCAACTACTGAGGCTGTAATAAGTAGGTGACCATTAAGTACCTGCCCTCCTCCTTTTTCCTGTCCTAATTATTGCTGCCTGTCACTGTGCTCACAGTGCCCCTTAGAAGTTAGCTCAAAACCTCTAAAGGCCTTCAAGGCACCAAAGGGTATGTTTCTTGGACTAAATTGGAACTTCTGTTACTTTTGTGATGAATGCCAAGGTACCTTCAGACTGTCTTGAGCTATCTTTGCTGAGGCATGAGGATCAGGAAGACTAGGAAGGCCTGGATCTCAGGAGTATTTGTCTTCTCTTACAGGCACTGGCTTACTCGGGTGTTGTTACCTTCCAGTCACTTGCCCCATGGGAACGGAATGAGCTGGGATCCCCCGCCCTGGGTGACTGCTCACTCAGCCTCTGTGATGGCAGTGTGAGCATGTGAGCTGGAATGTGTCAGCCACAACTTGAGCACCACCCCGCTTCCTGTGTTGCCTCAAGGGCCTCCAAGGATAGCTTCTTGGGATCCTTGAGCCAAAAGAGCCAGTGGGCCTGCCCCAGGCTACCATGCAGGGATAGCTCAAGGACCGGTCTCCTGGCCGTTGCAGAAGCAAGGCTTGATGTGGAGAAATCCTAGGACTGATGTCCCTTTACTCAGGCAAACAGACGTTCCAGCCCCAGACTGGAGATCAGGCAGCTAGCAACCTTGCCAGGTTGACCCCGACCTCCTCCAGGTTATAGCACTGGGGTTGGCCACCACCTCTTCCACTTGCCGTCTGAGGAAACAGCTGAATGGTAGAGATGAGATTCTGGCTTCTCAACAGGGCAAAGATACCAGGCCTACTGCTGAGGTCACTGCCACTTCTCATGTGCTGCTGAAGGGAGCAAAAATAAAGGTATTTGATTTTGTAAAGACCTGTAGCTTTTCACTCTTTGCCTTTCCTGTGGGATGGGAAAGGGGGAAATCAGGGTTAGGGCCTAGTGAGCAGGTGTTCTGGTCCTGCCACCCGTGCCTTACTTGGAGGGGTTGGATGTCCTGAACAATTCCTATAGTTTCTGTTCTAGGTTAGGCAGTGATGCTTCTGAGGCATAAGTGGAAGAGGGAAATAACTGACAGCCCCATTACCAAAAAAATCTTTATTCTCAAGCAGGTACACACACACCACCCTCCCTGGTCCTCAGGGCCACACACATCTGCATTCACCCTCAGCAGCATAGCTCCCTTTTTCTGAAATATAAATGGAAAAGCCCCAAGACCAGGGATCATTCTTCAAATACAAGTAGTCTCACGCGCAGTTACTTCCCAAAACCATTAGAAATCAGGATTTCTGTATTTCTTGTACAGCCATGTGGCAGAGGCCTGGCATTCGTGTTGTGTCTGTGGGAAAGGCAGTCAGGGGCCAGCGGTCTCCCTGCCTGGGCAAGACGGCTCGATGGTTAGTAACTTCAGGTTAGACTGTCAGTCAGTGTAGGCCAGGGATGGGGGGCTCAGCTGCCAGGGCTCCCCAGCAGAAACCTGTAGGCAAAAAGAATGTTGACCGCATTGGCGGTGAGGCTCGCTTCAGTCCCGTCTCTCCCCGTGACCTAGGAACTCACCATTCTCCCCTGGCTGATACTGCTTCCTTACGCACCAGCCTCTTCTTGTCATCCAGGGGTTTGGCTAAGGCCCGGATCACCTGTGGTTTGTACGGCAGCAGCTGTGGAGTTAAGAGGACCTAATCAGCCTTGTTCAACCAAGGTAACCAAAAAAGCTGCTCTGACTCTACATCTAATACTCTTCCTATTCTTCACTGACTCCAGACAGTGCTGTGTGGCAGGCTGGCCACTCTATTTTCAGGGACTCAGGAAATCCTTGCCTGTCTATACTACATAGTGCGCACCTCAGTAGCACAGCCGGGTGGCCAGTCCTGCCTGCTTAAGGTAGAAAGGTACCCCTGGCTCTTCTAGGAAGTTTCCAGGCCAGAGAGGGACACCTGTGGTACTCACCACGGGGGTGGGCAGGTGAGTGAGGGCGTGCATACACTGCAGAGCAGCGATCCGGACCGCCTAGAACACAACCATAAGGAGGTGAGGGGAAACCCACGAAGGGGAGACGTCCAGGGCAAAGAGTTGTTAAGGCTCAACGCACCATGGAAGGGCTGGCACTGAGGTTCAGGAACTTGGTGACAAGGGTGTCAATGTGAAGACTCATGACCTGGGGCGCTTCCAGTAGAAGAGGCTGAAGGCAGCTGAGGGTGGAGAGCTGCACCACAGAGTCGGGGCAGGACAGGGCCTCCAGCAGCAGGGAGAGCAGCTAAGGGGTCACAGGAAAGGGGGGGTGACCACATCTTTGATGAGCCTGCTTCTCCTCCCCTTTCTAGCCCCAGTACCCGGGGGGGGAGGGGGGGAACGGCGACAATGGCTTTGTCCCTGCTTAGAGGCTGTGATGGCAAGGCTTACCGTGGGCAGCTCTGGCAAGAGCACAGGCTTTGGCAGCCTGTTAAGTACATGAGACAGACCCTTAAGGTAGTGTGGCTTCACATCTGCAAAAAATGGAAAAGCTTAGGGGAAAACTAGGCTCAGACAGAGCTTGGGAATTCAATTCCAATCTCTGGTGAAGCTGGGACATCAGCCTACAGAGATTTTTATTTTTTCTTTTTTACAAAAATAACAGCCCCTCGGGCTCAGAATAGGCAAGGTATACCCGTCAAAGGAAAAGAGTGGGTCAAGAATCTAGATGTTCAGCCCTCCAGTACAGGCCATATTATGCTCTACAGAAGTACTCAGGTCCTAAATTCTTTCAGAGACTGTGGCCTGAACAAAGGAGAGGTCTATATATTTGAGGGCCTTCCTCTAACCTCTCCTCACCTTGGGGAGCAGCATGGAAGCCCCGGACCAAAGCAGGCACGTTATCCGTGAAGAACCGCTGGCGAAACATGATGCGCACTTCAGCATGGCCAGCACGAGTTAGCACATCAGTGCAGTCGGACATGAGCAGAGAGAAGCCATCAGCTGCCGACGGGCCTAGTTCTGGATCACTCAGGAGGCCCATGAGCTGGAGGAAAGAAAGCTTTTGAGGTACGTCAGTGGGGAAGGATCTTAAATACCAAGAGGAGGACAGCAGTCATTTTGGGGCAGAAGAGGATCAAGAGCGAAGTTCCTGTTTAGATCCTAGGTTCTGCTTGTTCAGCAAAGACTTACCCGGTCTGTAAGGCAGGAACTGAGAGGATGGTATCTAAGCACTAAGGCCTTTGTGACCTGTCACCAGAGAGAAGGAACAGTCAGGACAAAATGCCCAAACCCTGAGAAGCATGCAGATGGCTCAGGGTTCAATAGAGAGATTTTATTTAACCAGCTTAACTGCTCTCTCTGACAAACTCCATTCCGACTCCTTACCCAGAGAAGCAGTGTGAAGGCCTGACTACGACAGGGCCCAGAGCTCAGCCCAGCCTCCACTTTGTCCACAGCCAGCTGCAGGAATTCATCCAGCTGTTGCCCTAAAAAGGAGGGAGGAAATGCTGACGCATGTGTCTGTTTCGACAACAAAGGCTGTAAATCCTTTAAATGCAGAAGCCATTAGAAAAGAACAATGTCATTTTGGCTGTGGACTTGGCCCACTCAGCTCTAGGACACCAGCATGAGCCTGGTATTCTCATAATGTTGGGGTGCTGGCATTAGAAAAGTCTTCTAATAAAAACTCTTTTTTTCCAAAAAGAGCTGTCCACTTCTAATAATTACCTCTGATAGCTCCCTGTAGGGAACAGGAGGACAGAACTAGACAAGAGTACTCTGGTTGAAGCCCTTATTTTCTTACATCCTATAAAGCTTTGCCCAGCTCTGGTCTTGACTCTTGTCCCAAGAGCTGTCCCATGGAAAGCCTGATTGTATTAGCAAACTCCTTTTAAAGAGAGAATGAGTTACTAAACTTCAAGATTGCATCAGAAGTTGATTCTCCCTCCAGTACCTGCAGGGTGCTTGTTCAGGAGTCCTGCGAAGCACTTGGCGGCAGCAGTAGAGGAGAAGGGGCAGCTCTGGCAGCAGCTCAGCTCTAAAAGCTCCCGCATGAGTCGGTTCAGCTGTGGGATTTCCACCTGTAGAAAACCTGGTCATGTCATGGACCCAGAGAACACTTGAACTCCAAGAGACACCCAGGAGAGAGTGGCAGCAGGGGCCAGGGAAGGCAGAAAATCAGCTTTGCTGTGACAAATTTCAGCCCAGAAGTCACCTGGGCTCCAGCTCCCCTGGTCACAAAGGTTGTGGTCACTTACGTTTCGAGGCAGGGAGCAGACAAAGGCCATAAGCAGTGCAACCAGTCGCCTCTGCCCTGAGGAGCCATCCTGTAAGGAAGAAGAGCCCTATCAAGCCTGTCCCACCAGCAGGAGACTTGTGGCCCTGATGACACCCATCCCAAATTTGCCAGAAAGATCTGGAGGGCAGATGTCCCAAGACTGTTCCCCATCTGGGTCTGATCCATCGGACCCTCACCTGGAATGGCTGGAATCTGCCAGAGAAGCTGTTTTCAGGCAGGAAGGAGATGTTGCCGTCCAAGAAGAGGGGCACGATGTGGGCGACACTCTGGGTGGCTAAGCTAGGGGGTACACCTAGTGTCACCAAGGAGCCAGGGTTCTACAGCAGCCCTGGGGTTCCCAGGACTCACTGAGTCCGGGGACCAGAGCATGCTCATTCACACCTTCAAGAAATACTAACTCAACACACACTATGTGCCAGGAACCGTTCCTGTGCTAGGCCTTGGTGCTACAGCAGTGACCCAGTCAGATCAAATCCCTGTTCCCTTGGAGCTTATAATCTAGCACGAGGCCTCAGTGTACATGTCAAAAACGCTTCAGAGGTGACTTAGGCACACCTATCTGTAGCTGAGAACCATCAGCCCATGGCTCCCCAAGCCCCCATCCACAGTCCATGGTGCTAAAAGACCCCTTCTTTCTTTGCCAATAAGACTTACAAAACAAATAACCGCCTTCACATTTACATTTGGGTGAGAGGACAGCTCAGAAGGAAATCACCTGCTGCTGCTTCCCAAGAATGCTAGCCTCCCCGGGACCAAGTCGCATGCATGGTGATACTCACTCAGGGCTCAAGTGAGTGGTGGCAGTGGCAATGACAGACACCACGGTGGCCAAGACCTCATCCTCCAACAGGACTTTTTTCAGAACTGAATGCTCCTTCTCTGCCAAATCAAAACACACACACGCACAGGCCATGAGTGTGGCTCCCACGATGAGGTCCTGTCCCCCTCGTGACTTTGGGCCTTGACTCGCGTTACAGCAGGAGCAGTGTGTAACCTGTCCTTCAGTAGTGCTGCAGCCCTGGGAACCAGCGAGGCACCAGAAGCAGGAATGTCTAATATGGGCCACAGGGAGTTCCCAAGAATTGCCTCTGACTAGACAACAGTGGGAAATAAGGCAAGCTAATAGGAATATTCTTAACATCAGAAATG